CATAGTATATACATACATACATACATACATACATACATACATACATACATATGTATGTATATATGTATGTGTATATACATACATATATACATACATACATACATATATATACATATATGTATATGTATGTATGTATATATGGGTTGAGGACGTCATCTCGGGCTTTGGGATGAACTAGAGCAGAAAACACAGATTAACCGACAACCTGCAGCCTCTTCAGGACCTACTGGTTGGTTTGCTAAATAAAAAGTCTGCAAACTACCGCTTACTTGCACAAGAGCTTTGTGTCACTTAATCTATCAATCGATTGACTTATCGACCCGTTTTAAACTGTGACAGACAAGTAAAGTAGAAATGTGCTGGTTTGTGTTAAACTCAGTTACCAATTTTACCGTAACACCTCTTTAAAGTAAATTCACGGTGTTCCGGTGTGAAACACTCGGACAAAGTTAGATTAGATGTCCGCTAATGTGAATAGAATCCAGTCAGTCAGTATCAGAGAGAAATATTAGGAATTTAATACCAATCAGTCGTGTTTACATCCCAACAGCCGCCTGCTGGCTATGCTAACACGCTAGGCTAACACGCTAGGCTAACACGCTAGCTGCTGGCCATTGTTGTGAACGGAAATCAAGCGCTAACGTTAGCCGACAAGCTAACTAACGTTCGAAGGCTCAAATAAATGCGTCAGTTGTTGGTGTTAACCGTGATATCTACACAAACACACGACTGGCATTAGTTCGAACATCAGCAAAGTGAGAAATAGGCTCTAAAACCTCTGGTTTCACAGCGTTACCTGAGCATCTTTCGGGATTGTTTTCGGAGCGGACATTTTGATTTCGCCCCCCCGCCTTCACTTCTTCTTCTTCTACGGTTTCAGCTCACAGAAACAACGCAGCCTGCTTGTCGATGGGCGGCACGTCTCGCGAGATTATCATAATCAAACATCACTGACCACAGTGATGTTAGATTAAGTCTTAGAGTGGAGGGCTTTTTATACAACTACCTGATTTTCTCCCTAAAAGTTTTCTGTTCTCTTTATTTAGATTCAATGAAAGTAGTTAAATCTAATATTACTTTGTACACTCATGTCAGATTTGTCATTTAATTCGACCCCAACCAGAGCTTAAAATTACTTGTTTTGTATTTTTCTTTTTCATTTACGTCTTTTAGTTTAGTTTTAGTTTTTAATATTATTATTTATTTCCGTAAAATGACACCTTGTAATTTGCATCTTGTGTGTTTGGTTATGATTTTTAATTGTTGGATTTGTGTGATGCAAAACAAACAAACAAACAAAAAAAAGAAAAGAGTGGTGGAAGAAGTAGGCTACAACTCAAGTCCTGCTTTTAACATCTGATTTTAGTAAAAGTACAAAAGTATCATCAGCGAAGTTTAGGCCTACTTATTATAGTGTTGGGATGCAACTAAGTACATTTAAGTACTGTACTACTGTATTTCATTTTTATGTTACTTTATACTTTTATTATATTGTAAATTAAATATTGTATTTTTTTGCTGTCAGAAAGAGGAACCAGACCAGAGCTTTAACAACGGAGAGGCTGCAGGGGGCGCTACAGGTCAACACACTCTGACCTTCTAGTCTTCCTCAGTTTGGTGAATTCTGTCTCATACTCGAGCTTCTTCCTCTATTCTTGTGCTTTCACCTTAAAAACAAATATATAATAAAATAATTCCTGACCTATTGCAAGAAGAAGAAAAAAAATCTGCATTTAAAATAATTAAAAGTATTTTTTCAGCTTCATGTACTTCAGGTTGGTACAAGCTGCATGTATCGTTTCATTATTAGAAATATGCCAGAAACCAATGTGTGTGTGAAGAAGAAGAAAGGACAAAAATAAGAAGACGTGCGGCTCAGGGAGAAAACGAAACACGGCCCATCAACTTGTGTTGTGACATAATGTTTGACAATATCGAAATTAATATTGTTTTTGCAGTTTTCATGAGCATTTTCATAATATCACATTTTGGCAATATTGTGCAACACCTGCCAAGCTGACACATTTTACATAATAAGAAATAATTAATTGCTTTTTTGTGTCTCGTTTGTTTTTTTTAGATAATAAGGTATTATGTCAAGAGCCAGAGTGAAACTTGAAACAAATTTATAATTGCTAAAGTGCTTGAAACAGAACAATAAATTGTTACAAAGCCCAGGAAGAAGATCCAGTCAGTGCTGCATCTGGTTTGAATTACGGAGGCGATTAGGGGGCTTTGAGCCCCCCTAATTAAGACTTGGACCCCCCAAAAAACAGTTCAGGGGCGTCTTTCTGACCTGTAATTGTAAATATTACATCATGAAATACGATTTCAGACCATTTTCTAACCTTGACGTTAGTTGAACATCTTCATTAAAGTCCCGGCGTGCATCACACGCCACAGGAGACGCTGCAGGTTAATGTCAGTTAATAACTATGGAGCCTCTTTAATACACTTCAGAGTTTCGCATTTCTTTAACTGCCATGAGCCATCTGATGTTAACCAGCTGACACTGGTGCTTCGGCATGAGCAGTGAAACTGAGATATTAGAGATCATAGAGTTCATTATTTCAGTATTTTGTCTTAAGTCTTTCTACAGTAAGCATGATGTTGGTTTTCACTGTGGAATTCAGCAGTTTTACCTGCTCAGGTAGGGGAGACGCACACACAGAAACAAGCTAGAGTGATGACACTTAACCTGCACATGCTCAGTAGGATTCTCTCTCTGCCTCAGCATCATTTCACCTCAGCAGAAGTTTTTAAGAAAATACTGATTTTTGAGGTATGAAAGTAACTTTTTGGATGTGCAGCATTTTTCTTCTGGTGTCTAAAGTTTAAATGCCTACAAATTTAAACATACATAGATTTCATCTCTAGGTTACTGATTAACACTAACAAACTATGCTAGTTCAGTTGTGGCGAGCGGGCGTACAGGATTTTATCATGGCTGCAACATCGAGCCACATGGCCCGACACCTGGTGACCTCTGACTACAGAAGTTGTTCGGGGCCCCGAGTCTACAGACAGACTGCAGACAGTGGTTAAATAAGCAGGGATGTAGTAAGCATGGTAAGATGTTCACCCCTGGTTGTCACTGTATAATTCGCACCCTGGATGCAACCTCCCAAGCTGCAGCAGCAGTAGATTTAAAAACTCACCTGTCCCTGCTGTATTTTGTGTTTATGCAGCTGGAGACATTAATGTGAAATAGCTGATAAGAAATCGTCTCAAAAGGTCATAAGAGACGCTTCGTATTGCTTCAGACCAGCAGAGGACGAGCAGGTTTCAAGACGAATAAAGTCAGAGACGTTTTAAAGACTTTGTTTAAAGGTTCAGTGTGTAACATTTCTGAGGATCTATTGACAGAAATGCAATGTAAGATCCGTAACTATGTTTTCAGTGGTGTCTAAAGACCTGACATAATAAACCCTTATGTTTTTATTACCTTAGAATGAGACATTTATATGTCCATAACCGCGGGCACCCCCTTCAATGGACGTCGCCACGTTTCAGTGTTTGATCCTCATCCATCAACCTATGGACGTCTTTTCATTTCCCCGTGTCTCCAGGCAGAGGACATTTAGAGGAATCACCTTTTCTGACGGCTCTTTCAGAAGTGTGTCAAGCAGCTACAGACTCGTTTAATGTCGTTCAGAATTTTTCAAAGTAAAAGATCCAATACTGCATTACAGTAAACAAGCTTCTCACGCTTTTATTTTGTAGGCAAAACCACTAAAGAGGAAGTGATTGTGTGAGTAACTGTAGCTGTCATGACTGAGATCTATTTCAGCAGCTATCAAAGCGCCATAATCTGACAGCGGGCCAGATATTACTGTTGGCGGCAGTTTTGGCGAGGGTCCATAATCACAGAGAGAATCAACGTGTTTCCCTTCTCAATGTTTGTCTAAACTTTATCTAATGTGGTTTATAATGGACTGTGGTGCAGAAACAGTGACAGTGTTTCACACTCATGTTATCTGTCAGTAGCCAAGTCACAATAACATGTGGTTTTACTGAACAATTAAGTAAATATCCAACGAAGGTTAAAGTCAAGGGAAACTGTTGCCCTTGACTTTAACCATAACTATGACCTGGATGACTGAGAATCTTCATAGACAATTAAATAAATACAATTTCTTAATAAATCTACCTAAAGAAACTTCATTTCTTGACTGACCACTGACACCTTTTGTCCTGTGTCAGCCACCGTAGCTGTCCTACGCTCTTTGAAAGGTTAGGGGGCAGTGGTAGACTGGACAGATGGTTGCAATTCACAACCCTCGCCACTAGATGGCACTAAATCTCACACACTGAACCTTTAAAGAAAGCTGATGAAGCTGTTGACTCACCACCACTTGGACCTGTGGAGATGGTACAGATTGTGTAGGACACCAACACACCCGTCTCTACTGTTATCTAATGTTCATCTTTCTAAACGTCTGCTGTCAAACATGACGTGATTTAAGACGAAGCCGGACGACCATGTGGGGTAAAAGAAAATATCACAAGTGCAGCTTTTAAAAAGCACTAAACCAGACGTGACCATATATGGACGAGAGGGTGGAGCTAGCTTGCTTAGCAAGGTGCTTCTGTGCTTTTTCAGCAGCGCTGGTTAAATGTACACAGAGCAGCGGATACGAGTCGCCTTTATCCTGATTGACAGGTCGCTATGGTAGCGACCTGTCAATCAGCTTGTAGCCCCGCCCTAAAGCCTCCCCTGCTTCCTGGTTCCTCTAAATGGGACCATAATTTACTAAATGAACATCACGCTGTGTTGAAGAAGACTTGAAACTAGCGACTGAGACCAGAAACTCATCAGGAAAGTGTTTACTGAGGGAATAAATCAGCTGAGAGGTAGAAACATTTTCTCACAGACTTCGATACAGTCATGATAATAATACTAAATTTGATTAGTAATCCACTTTATATTTTAGCAAATCCCAAAGTGCTACATGATGAAACAGGTAAGTGCTAAAACTAAAAACACAGACAGCATGAAAAAAAAAGATAAATCACACTTCTTTCTGCAGCCGGTGGAGTCGCCCCCTGCTGGCTGCAGGTTTAAGGCTTCACTCGTGGCAGCCGACGTTGCTTCCTGGTCCAGCACTGTCGCTGGACTTTCCAGTGCTCGAACGAGTCGTTTTGGGACACTTGACCTTCGAGCTGTTTTGTCATTTAGGTGCGAGGACGTGTCCGGTCAAGACAGATGGCCGCCCACCCTGAGTCATGGTTCTGCTCGAGGTTTCTGCCTCTTAAGGGAAGTTTTTCCTTGCCTCTGTCTCCTAGTGCTGCTCTTGGTGGGAACTGTTGGGCTTCTGTAAATATCATCATAGAGTACGGTCTAGACCTGCTCTTTATGAAAAGCGCTGTGAGATAACTGTTGTTGTGATTTGGCGCTATATAAATAAAACTGAATTGAATTGAATCTAAACGTCTGCACTCACCTTGTGGCTGCTGCAGGAGGGACGTGTCATCAGGCCTGAGCGACAGATCCAATCAGACTCTACCTGAAATGTTATTTCCTCACAATATTTTAGTCTTCTGTGTTGTTTAATTGTTAAAATATTTAAAGAGATGTAATAAGTCCTGTTTTGTTTTATTTGCAGGTGAGTCGGTATGTTTGTGTTTGTGTCACACTTTTACTTTCTAAAAAGTCTGATCAGTTCTCACAGCTTGAGTTCAGTTTACCGCTGATGTGGTTATTTCAGGTGAATAAAACTTTCACGCCTTCAACATGCAAACCTCGTATTATTAACACAAAATATGATCAATTAAAAAAGTTCTGCTGGATTATTTACATTAAACTGCACATTGCACACAACTGTATTCCAGTATTATTCTGAAATGCAGCATAATGAGTACTTTTACTTTTGGTTGGCTAATACTTTTGTACTTTTACTAACAGTTAAGTTTTGAATGCATTTACTTGTAGTAGAGTATTACTGTTACTGCAGTACTCCTTCCACCGCTGTGTCTTTGTTCTTTTACTTTCAGTTCAGGAAGCAGACGAACCGGCCGACCTCCAGGTGACCTCCCTGCTTCCTGTGTGTGTGTGTGTGTGTGTGTGTGTGTGTGTGTGTGTGTGTTGTAATAAACAGTCAGACTGAACGGGAATCTGACGACTATCTTTGTGGATCAGTTTTCCTGTAAATGGATCACGTTCTTGGATTTTAGTTGCAAAATTGAAAGGTTTTTCATTTTTATTTTATATATTTTTATTAAAACAGACCTGGGAGGGGATTTCTACCAGCAGCAAATAACCTAAAACATAACACGATCCTTTTATTTGTATTTCACATGAAACATGGAACAACTGACCAGCAGTGAGAGTTTGTCTCTTTTTAAAATTATGCATGTTTTACTGGCTTGATAATCACAACAGACTTATTATTATTATTATTATTATTATTGTTGTTGTTGTTATTATTGTTATTATTAGTCTACTTTGCAGAATCAGACCAGCAAAAAAAAATAAATGCATTAAGCCAACACTTAAAAATTCAATAAAATAGAAGCAAATTAGAAAAGTAAAATACAAAACTAATGGAGCTGTTTTACATATTTTATTAATTTGTTTTTGACTTGTTTTTATCTCATTTTTATTACATTTTAATCGAATTGAATCAACCAAAGGCACAAAAATGCAATAAGAGTTGTTAATTTTCATCAGTCAGTCAAACACTGGCACCAAAAACAAAGAATATTTAATATAAAATACATAACCTAAATTGAGCAAATCGGAACGTGAGAGCATTTTTTTAACTTGACATAAAAATAATAAATCCATAAAACATTTTACAATCTACATAAAGCGTTTCTGAGAGCGGAAACCAAAAGAATAAATTCAGAACTTTAAAAACTCATCGACGTGTAGTTATTTAAACTTCAACCTGAGTAGAAATTTGATTTAAAACATATTAAAATTTTTATTTGACATTGAATTGAACCATAAAACGCTGGTTTACTTCATCCAGAGTTAGAAGAAGTATTTAGATATTTTACTTCAGTCAAAGCAGCAGTACTGAAATACTACAATAAAAGTACAAGTCCTGAATCCACAATTGTATTTTATTTATTTTATTTATAAGGACATTAACAGTTCTGTGAACGTCCCTCTGAAATGTGTAATAAGGCAAAAGTAATAAGCAGCACAAAATAGTTGTACTCAAGTAAAGTACAAATGCCTCAAAATAGTACTTAAGCAGCCGACAGTACTACAGTAATTGTACTTCCCACTTTCACACAAGAGAGCGACTGCACGCCTCTGAGGAAATAATAAAACAAAAATAAACACACACGCAGTTTTATTTCCTTCAAAGGCCGTCTGATGATAATACCATGATAATAATAATAATAAATTATTATTGTGTTTTATCCTTCAAAACATTTCGCCCTAAAATGTGCAGCTGCCTATGAAAAGATTAACCTGGGTAAAGTTTTCACTTTTATTTATTTCCTGTTCTTTGCTTTCATATGTAAAAAAGAACAATTTTAATAATTTAAATGATTAAACTCATTTTTAAACTCATATATATAAACTGTGATATAAACTTGGTTTAAAATCAGATTGATATGTTTTAATTAACATTGTCATCCTGAATTAAGTGATAGAAAGTCGGTTTATATCATTAAAACTCCCAATTAAAGAGGGAGAGAGATGAAGAAACATCTTTAACAAAATAAATATGTTTCTCCTTAAAATTAAATCACCATAATCAATTAAAAATATTTATTTATTTTTTAAAATATTTTATTATTATATAATAAAATATATCTTAATAACATAAATAATTATAGAACTATGTGTAAAATAAAAAGGAAAACAATAGTTCCAGCTGCATTACTCTGTTGTGCAAACACTCCTAGTTATAAATATAAAATCGACACAATATAAAAGTGTTAAAGAATAATAAGGAATATGAAAAGACCCTAATGTGTAAATTTTAAATAGACAAGATATAAAATGTGATTTTAAAACAGATTTCAATGTTTTGTTTGACACTAAAAAAGTTTAAGACATCTTAAAGTCACTTTCCAGGATGTGCTTTTCCTATTTCTTTAGTGTTTGTTGACCTGCTGCTGCTGTAACTGCGGGATTAATAATGGATTTCTGAAATGAATTACATTTAATAGCTTTTGTTAATTAGTTCTTAACTGCATTATTATTATTATTGTTGTTAAACTGACAGATCAAATCAATAAACAGAAGAGTATAAATAAATAACCTGCCCTCACTGACTGACGACATTTCTCTCGTCTCTTCCTTTGAAATGCAGCAGCGGACTGTGATGCAAATGCAGGCCGATAGAGGAGACTGCAGGCCGGGGGGGGGGGGGGGGGAGGACCGGAGGGAGGACCGGAGGGGGGGGGCGTGCTGCTTTTTATTTAATTTAATACAGCGGATCAATAGAGTTTGGTAACAGGTGGTTTGTGCTGTGTGATGGTTGTGAGGATGAAGAAGATGAAGAAGTGGTGGTGAAGAGAGAGAGAGAGAGAGAGAGAGAGAGAGAGAGAGAGAAAGAGAAGGGGGGAGATAAGCGCAATAAAAGTGCCCATGTGACTGTTGCAGCTTTTAACGAGCAGCTGATGGAGGAGCCGCGCAGAGAGAGAACAGGTGGAGGTGTGGACAGGTAGAGAGAGAGAGAGAGAGCATTCACAGTGAAGCTCACTTTACCTGTAGGTCAGGTGAGAGGGAGGGAAGAGAGAGGCAGGCTGGATCCGCACTATGCTGAGGGAGTCCCCTCACCTGGAAAGATGTACGTGAGCTACCTGCAGCTGGATAAGGACCCGGCGATGTACCCGCACCAGAACCCGGTGTCCCGCCACCCGGGCCTCAGCCTCAGCCCGCAGAACTTCGCGGTCCCGGCCCCGCCGCAGTACCCGGACTTCTCCAGCTACCACCACCACCACCACCACCACCCCGGCCTCAACAACGAGCTGCACGCAGCCCAGCAGGCCGGCCCGGGGCCCGGCGGCTGGAGCCCGGCATACCCGCCTCCTCCGCCGCGGGACGAGTGGTCGTCGCACCATTACGCAGCGGCGGCAGCGGCCGCCGCGGCCGGGGGGCCTCCCGCGGTGTCCACCGTGTCCGGCCCCAGTTTGGGCTTCAGCCCCCCGGAGTTCACCGGACAGCCACCCGCGCTGATGCCCACGTCCCTGAACGCGTCGGCGGGACAGCAGTCCCCCGGATCCCCGCAGAGGAGGAACCCGTACGACTGGATCCGACGCAGCTCCGTACCGCCCACCAACCCCAGTAAGACCCTGACCGGGACCACACACCTGCTCCTCTTATTTTAGCAATTTATCTGATGTAGGCTGATACTTCTGCGCTGTTGAACATGTTTTATATGAGAATACTAATAAAATAATTAATTTAATTAGTTAAAATAAGTTTTGTCACTGAACTAAAAAGTGAGCGTGCAGTTTTATTCTGACAGACTGTTCAACATTTTAATATGAGGCAGATAGCTGAAGCTGTGATACTCAAATGTGTGGACATGCGTAGATAGCAGCAGCAGCAGCAGCACTTTTATTTTAAAGAACGTGGCCGAAGTTGTTTCAGCCTGAAAACTGACTGCAGGGGAAATTTATGACTTTTCTTCACGTCACATGAACGTTTTTATACATTTTATAATGAGCATGTTTGAAACTGCAAAGAAAGCACGGAGCACATTTATAACACAGAAGCAGCATAATAATAGCAGCTGTTTGTATCAGATTTATGACGTGACAGGTGCGAGCAGGCAGAAACCTGATTTTCTATTTGAAGCCATTTTCCATCAAACTGCTTTATGTCATTTTATTTGCATTTTTCTGAACATTTCCTGCTTCTTCCATTTATCTGGGGATGTTTTTCTTCATCTGGGGTTTTATGTCGTGCTATCACCTCATTTATCCTCAAATACCTGCAGCTGTGAGTCAGTAATATCTCCGAGCTGCAACCAGGGAATTTGAAATATACGGCGATGTTCACGGTTTCCTGTCCCTGGATGAAGGGTGACATGTTCCCACCGGCCCCGCCGTGCCGTCCTGTCGCGGATCGGGCGTGTGAAGCCGGTTTGAAGCCCTTGTGATGCAAATGTTCCCCCCCAGCTGGACGTGACTCCGGGCAGCTGCTCGGCCTTTGTCCTCAGCTTGTCTCTGGGCGGAGAAGACAAGAGTTTACAAGACAGTTCCCACTTTGAAGTGCGAAGTGTGACCTGACTGTGTGTTTGGGGGGGGGGCCTCACCTGGATTTTATCCCACAAGGTGCAGCCACATCTGTTACTTCAGTAAAATACTGCATTAAAGTAAAAGTACAAAAGTATTAGCATCGGAATACGGTTGTATCTAAAAGTGCTTCTTCTGCAGAGTCATATATACAGAAAAATCATCTTCTTGGTGATTTCATGTTGCAGCTGAGGAAGGTGGAGCTCATTTTAATGATCCTTTACATTCTGCTGGCATGTAGGTGTCATTCGCACCGGGGACCCCGGAGACCCCGGAGACCCCGGAGACCCCGGGGACTCAGTTTAAAAAGCATAATTTGCGTCTTTGACTACTTAGAAAAAAGCCAGATAAATCTAATTAATTATTATTATTTATTATAATTTGTTAAAATTACTTTGAAAAATATCTTGCACCAAGAAACGTTAACTAACAAATGTAAATGTTTTGTGAAAGGTTTATTTGCACGAGAAGAAAAAAATAACTTAAGCTAAAACACAAGCTGCTGATTTCTGCATTAAATTCTGTTATATTTTAAATCGTCACATGATAACTGAATTTTGTGTTTCGTTTTATATAAATAAAGACATCTGCACCATAAATTAGTTCAGAAAATTTCTCCAGAATGCAGGAAATTAAATGTTGGACCCTCCACCTCATATATTTCAGCATTAAATATCTCTTTAAATTAATATATCTTCTCCTCTTGGTCTCCTGAGAAGTTTTATCTTTATCCTTATTAATACACAATCATGTATTTTATTTATAAATGTATATATTATTATTATTATTAATGTGAATCTGCAAAGTAATTAAAGTTCTCAGATACATGTGGTGAAGTTAAAAGTAAAGTATTTCCATCTGAGCTTTTGGGAGTAGAAGAAAATACTCAAAGTACAAACACATCAAAACTGTGCTGAAGTACTTAGTTATTTTATTCTAGTATTGGCTAAATAGAAATACTAAAGATGTGTCATCATGACAAGAAGCTGGCTGTGTGGGCGTCGTGGCGAAGAGAAGCAGAGGAACAGACCGGCGTTCAGTTGTTGGTGCAGCTTCAGGGCGCTGAGGCGGCTCGCTGCAGGGCTGGTCAGCGGCACTAGGTGGCGTGCTGCGTCTCGTGCGCTTGCTTGAGCTTTTGCTCAGTCTGTTGACTTCCTGGTCTTTGATCGTAAGCCTTGGCTGTTTAACAAATGCACGCGCACAGCTGTCCACGAGGGGGCGCTTTAAGGCGCCATATGTATTTACAACAGTGCCGAAACTCCACCGGTTTGGTCAAAGTCTTTCAAATCCTCACGCTGCCCATTTTTTCCCGCTTCAAACACATAAACTCTGAGGACACAATGTTCACCTGCTGCCTGATAGATCCCGCCCACTGACAGGTGCCATGGTGACCAGGTAATCAGATATTCACCTCACCTGTCAGTGGTCATAAAGTCACGGCTGGTCGGTGAACATCATGCGCTTTTGTAAACCTGCAGATGCTATAAATTGTTGTCACTGCTTTGAGAATGACTAATTCCTTTAAACTTACGATATGTAGAAACTCCACTGTTAAGTAGTCTAATGTCGTTTGTTTGTAGTTAAATGTTCTTTGTTGTTGTTGGTGTTCATATTTGTAACTGTGCTCTGTCAACATGCTGCTATTCTGAGATCATCTGGTTAAATAAAAAATATCATGATCTTTTTGTAACCCTGACCAAGTACTTTTGGTTCCTGAACGTTTCACCATGTTAACAACAAAAAAAGCAAACGTTTTATTTTGAAAGTCTAACCGGGCGTTGCACATTCATTTTTGAACAGGGTACCCAGGGTGTTAAAAAGCGTCCATATGTGACGAGTTGTTGCCTAAACCTGACCAAACCACCACCTTTTCACGTTAACCATCTGATAAACGTCACGTGACGCACGGCCCGCCTGTCGCTGGACTGGTTCTTGCACACGCGTCTTTTCAGGACACTTGAAAATCATCCTGCTTTGGCTTTTAGGTATGAGGTGTTTCTTTCATCTTGCATAACGTGAAGATGATAATACTGCTGATACATGAAGCTGCAGACTTCTGCACCTTGTAAATGCAGGACCTTATTTTTACACTACTGTATTGGTACTTTTACTTAAAAAGGATGTGAGTACTTCCTGCACCGCTGAGGACAGATATCTTCGTGACGCCACGAAAGGAAACTGTCGTATAAAAACACTGAATGAAGTGTTTTTCATCACATGAGATGAAACCCTGTTAATAATAAATAAAGCCCCAGATCTCTTAACGTTACCGGTCAAATGTTTGTTTGCTTTTTCAGGCACTTCCGTCTGAATTATACGGCCACGTCGGGGATCTTTCAGGAAGACCAGAGTTTCCCTGTCATAATTACTGACTTCTCAGAATCTATTAATTACAGCAACTTCCACTTAACATGAGAGGAAACAACTTTAACGTTTATGAGTGAAAATATATCTATTCATTCCAATTTTCCCCCTAAAAAATCTCACACAGCTCGTACTGTACCCTGACAGGACACCGTGGTCGTGTCCTCAGCGCTGTTTCAGGGAACAAATGTGGGTTTTTAAAGGCAGATTCTGATATTTTTTACGGGTATAAATGATTTATTTAAACACTTTAAGGCCAAAAACATACAGTTAAATGAAGAGATTTTGTATTTTCTTTCCCTCGTGGAACATTTTGAAAAGTTACAGAAAGAAATACAGAGACAAAAGAAACATTTTACAGACTTTAAAGGAACAGTTCAACAATTTTGGGATCTGTATTTATCCTCTCAAACTTGTTCTGTTGCCGTAAATGTGTCGGCAGTTTAATGTGTGGGTCTCTTAGTGTCAGCGGCAGAAGGTAAAACATCTGTTTATGGTGTTCAACCCGGACAAATGTCTCAATTATAATAAAGTAGGAAACGCTCTCTAAATGAGAAGCTTTCCTTCCACAGAGCCGGTTCAAGCAGTTCATTAGGACCCATAAAGACCTCTGAAGACTGTAGTAAGTGTGACGTCAACGCATCCTCACACCCGACTCCTCACATGTTGACTCTTGGTCAAGGCCCTTTGGCGTCGCTTTTTAACGCCCTGGGTACCCGTTTAGAGTCATTTTTAGACGTTTAGGGCTCCACGGTGAAGCAACGCTCCGCATCAACAAATATGGAACGTAATAAATAAAAACGACACATCACCATTTTGAAACCGCACATTATTAAAGTTGTGAAACGTTGCAGTTTGGTTAGGTTTAGGAAGAGATCACGGTTTGGGTTAAAATAACCACGTAGGTCAGTTAACACTAAGTTAACTTGCAATTAAATGGGGGTAAAATTGTAAACGTGCGGCTGGTGAAGGCTTTTCAAATGTTAATCGATCTAATGGATCACATTCTGATCGTTAAACGAGTCACTTCACTCGGGTTGTGACGCTCAAACACATCGACCCACCGTGTTACAGCCGCTGGTTTGGCCGCTAATAAAATTTACTTCAAACCACGGGGCACTTCCTGTCGGCTCGGAGGCATTGCGAGGCAACCCAGCCGACCAATCACAGTCCTTACGGTCCGCGTCGCCCCGACGTGTAGTTACATTTTTGAGAAGGAGCACGTCAGGCTACGATTGGATGCAGAAGTATAAATCAGGTACTAAATGAAAACAGACCTCGAACTGGCTGCAGCGACTAGCTAGAGCATTCATTATTTTTGCAGCGGTAAACTAAGGCTTTTCTCTTTCGCGCCATCACGTTGTATGCTCGTGGTGATGTCATCACGCTAAGTTACTTACGGTGAAAGACGGTTCGATAACGCTTGGCGGTATGAGAGGACTGCCCCGAACTGGTCGAAGGAGCTCGTTGTTTGCATGATTAAATTTAAATCTAATTAAAATAAAAAACGTAGTAGGTAGTAATTATTATGGTTCATTGGCTTATGTAGCCTTTTGGTTTAGGTTGGACGGGTTGGATATGAAGCATCTGAAGATAATCCAAGAAATGACATCATAATAAGCAAAAAATACCAAACTGGTGGCCCATTTATACTGAGTTCAAAGGGTTAATGACGTAAAGTACTTGTTTTAAGTCAAACCTAACCAAGTAGTTTTGCTGTTACTCATCACACGTTACTTGACACAATACTGCAGTATTTTCAGTTTGGTCGTGGATACTATATGTATTTATAGTGTTTAACTTGTACAGCTTCTGTTTATTTCTATTCTTATTTAATATACTTCTAATAATTAGTTTTTTTTTCCGTTGTGCTGCTGCAACACCTGAATTTCCCCTGCGATCCTCAATAAAGGATGATTTTATCTTATTAATATAACCTTCAGCAGCAAAATACAGTTTACTGCTCAATCAGTCAAATATCACAGGTGTGCAGCTCTTTCAGTTCATGCCTGAATGTCTGAAATGAGACGTTAGCTTAGCATAAAGGCTAGTAGCTGGCTCTGTTTTTAGCTCAGAAATACAAAACTATTTCTTGTGGTAACTGAGACAGCTGGACCTCTCTCTCTCTCTCTCTCTCTCTCAGACAGACTGGAGAGCTTTTTGATTTACGTTCCTTCATTAGCGTCTCGTCTCTCGCTGCCCTTTATCAGCCGACGGAGAATCAAACTGTTGGTTTTTACTTTCTGACAAATGAAGCAGAAACTCGACAGTTCACACAGATGTCTTCCCCCCGAAACTAAAATGTTTGAGTTGTAATTCGCCCTGGTGACCGATTAGAGGACAGGCGGCGTGTGTGTTTAAAGAAGAGGCACATCACTTATTTAACTCTTGTGTGTTTAGCGTTAATATTGAATCAGAGCGTGTTAATGAGAGCTGAAGGCCTTTTAATTAACTTTAACTGTCTGTGTGTGGGAAATGTACCTTCCCGATGTAAACATGCATTCATTCATAGGCAGGTGACTGAATCTGATCAGTCAGTCATGACCAACAGGGCTTCTTTTATGGTTTTGGCTGCTCGGTTTGTTGGGTTAGGTTGTATGAAGAAGTGTGACCTTTATACAGCAGTGTAGAAAGTAAAGGTGTGAAAGTACATCCAATAAAGTGCTTGTTTTTGGGCTCAGATTGTTGTCTGACAGCTTTTTGTTCAACCAGAAACGGTCACTATATCGCTCTCATCAAAGTCACCAAACTCCATTGATAAAAACAGTCGTTTTACCTCTCTGGGCTACCGCTGCCTTGATCGGTTAGTTTGTGTTACTTTAGCGTTTTTAACCCTTTAAAACACATATTTACACAAATTAACCAAACCAACAAAGTCGCAAATTAACCCAAACAATCAAACTGACTGAGGCAGATGTAAACCAGCAACTCCCGTGTTCTACAAGGTAAAATTACTGTTTTTATCAATAGAGTTTGGCGGCTTTGGCGAGAGCGATATAGTGACCGTTTCTGGTTAAACAAAAAGGATCTTACTCTTTAAAAAAAAGTCTCTCTCTGTAGGGATGCGACAGAGAAATGTCTCCAAGCGCGGACGAGATGTTGGGTTGAAGTCGACTTATAGAAATGTATAGAAATGTAATTATTTGGCTTTTGCCCAAAGCGACGAAAGATCAATAATAAGCATACAAGAATTAGTATCCCAAATCAATCATGGCGGGAAACCGTATACAGACTTTTTTCTGGTGAGGACTGACTGACAGCATCAGAAATATTCTCTATCAACTCTACCTTAAAGTTATTTAAACGTTTTCAGATAAAACAAAGTTTTGTGAGTGTGAAAGACAGATCTGTACGTTTAATAAAATGGTCATTTGTGCAGCTCATTCATTCAGTTTTAACAGCTGAACCCTCTGACGGCGTTGAGGCTCAACAGTAACTCATGAACATTGAGTCCATAAATGAATAAAAGCAGATATGGTGCAGTTTATGCAAATGCAGCCGAGGCAGGTTGTATATTTGAATACAGGAGTCGGGTGAGAACACACAGCTCCACGAGTCTGTCCGAGCGCTGACGTCACTTTATGTGAGCTGTTTATAACTCATAATATAAAATACTATGACTCCATATACTTCATTCACATTTTTACATACTAACAGCTGGTGTGATTTTGTGCTGTTGAAGTGGAATCATTAAACAGGGAAGTGTTAAGACTTCCTGAAGCCACAAAATTAACTAAATGAATGAAAAACTCCCGCTGGATCTCGCCGACGCCGTCTGCGAGGAAAGAAAAACAAAATGTGGCCTGTAGATGTGATTTAAGCAAAGTCACAATGATTAGAAAAATCTTTTCAGACACGTCTACAGTTACGCTAACTGTGTTTTCATTGTGGGTCATTGAATAATAGAGAAACCGGCGAGTTTGGAGGATCGTGTCTTTTTCCAGTCTTTCCCAAAACTAAAAGAACAAAATTGTAAATAAGGAATTAAACGGTGTGTTCGCCTGCTGCAACTTATGCTGCCCCATTGTCCCATTGGATGCTACTAAATGCTATATGAGAGTTTAAGCTAATGTTACCCACTTTGTCCTTCTCTTAAATCACAGGATTACAGATAGATACTTCATATATAAACATTTTTGAGGATTGTCTCTTTTATTAGTCTTTCCCAAAAACAAAAAAGAACAAAATTGTGATTAATGGATTATTAAACAGTGTGTTTACCTGCTCTGACATAAGCTGCTAATGTTAGCAGGCCTGGCTAACTAGCTTACTGCCCTGTATTTGGGAAAGTTTACCCAAGATCACTTTGCCAAACTCAGTGGTGTGTGCACCTGGACTAGTTCCTGCACATAATGTCCTGTAAAACCAACAGAACAGAATTAAAGAATTAAAGAAATGAGATATAATATGTAAAATGAAAACACTTTTTGATTGATATCACTCTCAGGTCCGAGTTTAAAATAATGCTACAGCCCAGACACATTTAGCTTAGCTTAGCACAAAGACTGGAAAAAGGGGGGAAACAGCTAGCCTGGCTTTTTTCAACTCTTTATTGAACATGTTAAAAGACAACAACAAAAACTGAATAAAAATAAACAATCAACAAAAAAAGATCATCATGGTCCAAATAACAGTCATGTTCAAAGGGGATAGGAAGAAGTTAGAATAACTTTTCACTGATATGTTTTAACTACTTAAACTATGTAACTTACCTAAACTTAACTAAATAAAGATCAAAAAAGAAAATCACTGTTCCAGCTCATATCCATCAAGGATTCGTTTTTAAAATATAAATTTCAATAAGTTTTTACATCATTTTAAATCATTATTGCTGTTGTTCCACAGGATAACACCCTGGGTTGTTACACAGTGGAACTTAATTGTTCGAATTAGCGGTCTGCTAAACTTTGATATTCCTCCTGAAATTGTACGTGTTTTCTCGTAGTTGAAAAAGCTCTTGGATATTTCTAGGCATTTGGTTATTGTGCGCTCCAAAAACTATTTGAATAGTTTTGTTGTCAAGTTTGTTTTGCTTTCTTTAAATACATAGAAAAATCCAGAAATAGTCCAGCACATAACCCCCAAAGCACAATGTGTCCGTTTTACAGAGTAAACAAACGAGATATACGCTGTTAATCAATAAGCTGTATAAGTGCTGGTTGGTGGATCCCGTTACCTTTGGGCAGAGCCAGGCTAGCCGTTTCCAGTCTTTATGCTAAGCTAAGTACACCAGCTGTAGTTTTATTTTAAAACATACAGATGTAACAGTGGAATAACGTGAACATCTAGCGCTCCGCAAGAAAGCCTTCAAGCAATGCTGACCTACTGGCAGAAATATTTAAAAGAACGCCACAAAGATGGACGAATTCCTGAATGGATGCTACATTTCCCACAATGCAATCTGACTGTGTCTTTCATTACACCATGCCCGCCTGGTAAATTCCACACCTTTAGTTTAGTTTGTAACTCGGACTTTCAGTTTTCTTCATTTCCTTCATCTTCGAGTTATCCGAGCTGAGGTAACTCTGATGACATCACTATGACGTCATCAGGACTGGAGGAAACTGAGAAAACTGATTTTCATGTTTGTGACGCCGCTTTACGTTTACAGTGCAGCAGGCAGCAACCCGAGACACAATGCAGGTTTCACCTGTAGGTTTCGTTAACCTGATTATGTTTCCGTGTTTTACAGACGGGAAGACGCGGACCAAAGACAAGTACCGGGTGGTTTACACCGACCACCAGCGGCTGGAGCTGGAGAAAGAGTTTCACTACAGCAAATACATCACCATCAGGAGGAAGGCGGAGCTCGCCACAGCGCTGGGCCTGTCAGAGAGACAGGTGATTTTACTGCACTGCTACTGTATCTTATATAAAGTAAAACTTAACAGGTTTGAGATTCAATGTAGTGACGAAAAACTGGACGTGATTATTATTAAATTTAAACTTCTATAACTCTAAAATTCTATATTTTTAAATAAAATTTGGAAATGTCCGCTGTTGAATGGATTGTGATAAAATGTGGTTCAGACGTTCATTTTCCCGTCTGATGAACTGTAATAACAGGTGATCCCTGTCTTTTAAACTAGCGCCACCATCAGGTCAACATGTTAATGTCTCCAACACTTTGATTTATGAGCAAAAACCTGCAGAACTAAAGATATTCCCATCAGCCTCAGCTGTACGCTGTGTTTACTGCTAATTAGCAAATGTGAGGGGCGTTTTTAGGGCTTAGCCTACCCAAAGTAAAGCAACAGTAAATGACCTTTACCTTTTACTTTTTCATCTTACATTTTATTTTCCATATAAATAAATGTATTATTTTTACTACGTACATTTTTTAAATCTCTTAACTTTATATTATTTATATATTTCTATATTTATGTTCATATAAGCACCAAAACACCAATGCAAATTCCTTATATGTGAAAATGTACCTCCTGTAAATGTAAACCTGATTCCGATTACTACTAATAAAAATAACAATAATGATGTTACTTCATTTCCTGCATTCTGGTGAAATCTGCACCAGTGTGTGGTGGAATGTTTTTATTTATATAAAGGAAAACACAAAATTGAGGTGGAAGATGACAATTCAGAAAGTTCAAAGTCAGTGCAGATCTCAGATCTGTTTCTCCTGTAACGCCATCACTGCTGAGTCAGGATTCAGTCTTCCCTCCTCTTTGTGTCTCTGTTTGGGGAAGTGACCTCTTTAAATGTGACTGTGGATCCTTTTCACCTCAATGAGAAGTGAATTCATTTAAATTCAGTGATAAACGCCTGGACTTTAACAGCTCCTGTGTTTCAGCAGCACAGATCTGTGTTCTCTGACAGGTGCAGAAAAGATAAAAAGTCTATCTGCCCTGTACTCTGAGGTAGTTTCCCCTTCAGACACAGAACCGTTTGGGCTGTACTGGATGAGACCAGGAGGTGGAAAACTAACTGATAACACTTCTGATCGGACAGAAATCAGGCCTAACCACGACTTTGACTGAGAAGCAACAAACTTTATATGTAGTAAATGTAAAGGCACGTAAAAGGGCTAAAGCATGCTAAAAACACGAACACTGTCCTTTAAAAAGACGTTGAAAAGTTTTTATATGTTTTCCTGAATCATTATTTTGTTTAAATATAAATTCATAACACCTTTTCTCCTGCACAAGGTGAAGATCTGGTTCCAGAACCGCCGGGCCAAGGAGCGCAAGATCAACAAGAAGAAGCTCCAGCAGCCAGCCTCCTCCACCACCACACCCACCCCTTCTACCGCCACCAACGGAGGCGGCGGCAGCGGCCTCCACGGAAACGGTGGGAGTAGTGCCGCCATGGTGACGAGCAGCAGCGGCGGCAGTAATGGGCTGCTGTCTCCTTCCTCTATGCCTTTAAACATCAAAGAGGAGTACTGAGGAGAAGAAAAATACGTGTTATTGGACGCTGACGTCGGGGATGTGGACTAAAGAAATTCTCCCCTACAAACTAAAAACTTTTGGCATCACATGCTGCCTCTTGCCGCCTTTCTGTCCGCCCTCTTCAAGCTAAAGCTCGAACGGGCTACCTCACTAGCAACAGAACTTTCTCCTTGTTGCAGATAATTCCTAACTGTGATTAGACATTTGCTTGCTGGGATGTCGCCAGGAGAAATGAAATCCAGGACTTTCATCACTCACTGACCTTCGAATCAGCTCTTCACTCTGCCAGATCCGCCGCCGGGTCCGTCGCTGCTGTTTGTCCGAACTTCCTTCAAACTCACAGAACTTTATTCTAAGTTCTAGCTGAGAACCCAGAGTTCCCAACGACACCTAAATGATGCACATGACATGCCAGAATATTTCCATTTGATGGAATCATGCAGCTATAAAAATATGTCTTGGCTTTGAATATTTCAGTGTAAACATCTTTTAGCTTCAACGAAGAGCTGCAGCAAGCATATACAGAATTTATACCATACTGTCTGACAGTGTGGAACATATATTTGTGTTTTTTAAGCTACCCGAAAAGGGATTTTCAGGTTAAATTCGCTTTGTGTTTTGCTTGATGATGATGCATTTATGAAAACAAACATCCTGCTTTGTTAAGAATTGTTTTCTCAGCCCATAGAGGAAAATAAAATCCAGTGACAGAATCCCTGTTTGCTTATGATCGTCTGTGGCTGCAGAACATGTGAACACTAAACCACAAACCTGCATTTAACTTTTCAAATATTTCTCTAAACATTCTCCTTAATGTTGCTGAACAGAGAAACTCAGGACAGAATGAGTTCATCACACAGGTTTATGTTCTGACCTCCAGCTTGAATTATTTAAACTTTGTTCCTGAGAAGTCAGGTTTTGGCGCAGACAGCTCTAAACACTACAATACCCATGAGCCTCGGCCGCCATTGCCATGGAGAAGAAGCCGTTCAGAGGCGTGAATCTGAGCAAAAGTGATTTCAAAACTCTTCAACGTAGTTACTGAACTAAAATTGACTGATTGTAAAATCAGCTCTGTGATTAGATGTTTCTTGCCAAAATGCACCTCATATGTTATGAATCCTTTGTACTGATGATTCAACCAGTTGTTTCATGCCGAACATTATCTTTGGGAAAAATGAATGGATATGAGCTTATAGTTAGGGCTGGCTCAGGTAGTCCTGAACCATCCCTTAGTTATGCTGCTATAGGCCTAGACTGCCGGGGGATTTCCCATGATGCACTGAGCTCCTCTCTCCTCTACTTTCTCTCCCTCTGTATGCAACCTCATCCCATTATTGCATGTTAGTAACACAACTTCTCCCCTTTCTGGTAGTCTTGTGCTTTCTCGTCTCTCTCCTCTCTCCTATCACTTCCTGCAGGTGTTTCTGGCTCTGGAGCTGTGGAGTCTGGATCTGTGGTTGCGGGTCACCTGCTGCCCCCGTGTTCCTGCTCGACACCCTCTGCTGCAACGACTATTGTTGCTAGTCCTGTTGTTATTATTGTTATTATAATCATTAACATTATGATTATTATCATTAACACTACTATAAATATCTGTACCATTTTTCATTTAGTCTATAGCAACATCACCTTTAATGTCTGTACCTCTGTGTGGATATTGTGTAGGCTGCCTCCCTCCCCTCTCTCTCTCTCACCCTCTCTCTCTCTCTCGCCCTCTCTCTCTCTCCCTCCCCTCTCTCACCCCCTCTCTCTCTCTCTCTCTCGCCCTCTCTCTCTCTGTCACCCTCTCTCTCTCTCTCACCCTCTCTCTCTCTCCCTCCCCTCTCTCACCCCCTCTCTCTCTCTCTCTCTGTCACCCTCTCTCTCTCTCTCTCCTCCCCTCTCTCTCTCTCTCTCTCTCTCTCTCTGTCACCCTCTCTCTCTGTCTCTCTCCCTCCCCTCTCTCACCCCCTCTCTCTCTCTCTCTCTCTCGCCCTCTCCCTATGAACAGGTCTATTGGAAAGATGATAAATTACACTAAACCTTAAAATCAACCATCAGCTCCCAAATTTTCCAGCTGAAACAGATGGACTTTTGGATTTAAGTTTTATGTTTTTTAAGGGAGGTTTTGTTGACTTTGTTGACCATCTGCTCAGCTGTCTTGTCATTAACACATATGGGGCCCGTTTCACCAAATTATATTTAATCTGGCACTGGCAGAAGAATAAATTATTCACATCAGTTACTTAAGTAAAAGTATCAGTACTACATTGTAAAAAATACTCAATAGAAGTTTTAAAAACAATTAAATAAAAGTACTAATTATTATTATATTACTAATTACTATTATTGAAACATTAACTTGTAAGAGGTGATTTCATGTGAGAGATGGAGCTAGTTTTTTTTTAACCTTTGGGTTTAATCTGTAAAAGCGTTTCCTATTTTATAAACTCATCACTCACACATCTGTGTGTAAAATCCTAGTCTGCATTAGTATCTACAGAGTACAAAGTACCTCTAATTTGTAAATAAACACACTAATTTGGTAAATAAACCTTCTAGCCTGCTAGTGAGCAGATTAAATAGTAATGTAATAAGTTTTAAATAAATAATGAGTGGCATTATAAATGTGTGTCAGGTGCAATGGTGGGAAACAACTAAGTACTCAAATTTGTTTGTCTGAGAGGTTTATACTGGCCGCACACTCGAGGACAATTGGACCGACTTTGGGTCCGATTGGCCTTTCCAACAATCACGGAGGCGTTCCCGAGGCGAGTTGGGCTGTTACCATCCAGTGGAAAAGGAGCTTATTCCACCACTTTTTACTGCACTCCATTTGTCTGACAGCTTAGGCTTTTTACACACAAAACATATGAAGAGCTTATAAAATATGAAGATATCATATAATCCATTAGTCTAGTCAGAAAATGAATTGGCAATAAAATTTAACAAACAACGAGCGTTGTGAAGGCGTCACTTTGGGCTCTGGGCATCTGTGACAGCAGAATCTTTACAAACCAAACAATCAATCAAACCAACAACAGCAGCAGCAACATCCTGCTCTACATTAATGATGAGGAATAATAATCTGAATAAAGAACACATAATAGTACAACAATAATACTCTAAGGCCTGATTATACTCACATACTTTTCTCAAATGGCGATTTGGCCACTGAGGCACCTAAGGAACGAATCTTATGCAGGGGAAAAAGGAGTCCGCCGTCCAGGTCAGAATAGCGTTTAAGTGGTCGATTTCCAGTTTAGCAAGCAAAACAAACAATGGCGTCTGCAGCCTCTCTTGCCTTGGTAAAAAACCATGAAAGTTTCCCGGTGCCCACCTGTGCTGTACCTGACTACCCATATATGTAGATTCACCTGCCCAAGCCGCCCAGTACAGTGCAGTAAACCTTAATAAGTACCTTAATGAACTAAAATAATAATATTAACTTTGTCAAACCAATTCTTAAAGGCGAAACAGCAAAAACATAAATACATGTTTAATTATTAAATTAAATTACAAAACACTTTTACTGAAATAATTTTCAATGCAGGACTTTTACTTGTAACAGTATTTTTACAGCGTGGTACTCGTACTTTTATTGGAGTAAAGGATCTGAGGACACGAGAACAACAGGTAAAAACTGCTGTAACACACTTTAACAGGCGGCTTTTTAAACAAGCGACGAGAGAAATAAAGAAATAACCAAACAATGCAGCAGAGACAACAAGTCGCCGAGAGATAAATAGAAAGATGGAATAAAATACATGATAAATTAAAGACAAGACACTTCCACACTCAAACACACCTACACACCCATGTGATGCAGCGGTTGAGGTGTGGCGTCCAAAGGGCGAAGAGGAACACTCGGCAAACAGAGCACAGGATCCTGCTATCTGCCACAGTGTGTAGGTGTGTGTCCTCACTCAGACCTTTGTCCTTCTGGGTCCATTTAGCCTCCAACAACAGTCCTATCTTAACACTGATAGAGACTATCAGCAGTGTGTGTGTGTGTGTGTGTGTGTGTGTGTGTTGTTCAGGCAGCCATCTTGAATTTGAGGCCTTAGGCGCCGTTTTAAACTTGTAACACAGCTTTAGCCTACAAAACCTCCATTAAAAAAACAAAATAAAGTCCATTTCAGTGGGTTTACTTGGGTTCTGATAGTTGAGTTTAAGATTTTGCATAATTTTTCCTAATGGAAACATAAACTGTAAATTTTAAATAAAAAGAGGCCCAAAGATTGAACCTTGGGGAACTCCTTTGGATGCATCAATAAACCCTGCAACAGTAAAACCCCTCATTTTTATAGTCATAGCTTCATTTTCTCTCTATAAAACTCTCTGAACATCGTCAGCTTAATCCAACGCAGAGGGCTCCGGCAAGAAAGTTTAACCAGGTTCAAACTTGTCTGCAACACAACGCGACGGTCCCGCCTCGGCCAATCGAATGCATGCAAGTGCACATTCCTGGTAGATGACTTTATTACGTGAACGCTCTATTTCTACTCTTAACAGTGCTATTGTTGTGACGAATGATAAAATAGGTGCAGCTGTGACAACTTCCAACAGTGAGTTGTATAATTCTGTCTGCCCTGTGTGGCGTTTTAGCATCTGATGAGCCTTTAAAGACGTTCATCTGTTACTCAAACTGGACTTCAGGGATTGTATTTAGTTAAACAACACCCCACCACCAACGCAGCCCCCTGCAATGTTCGAACGCAGGTATGAATCTATAAAGCCATTTCAAACAACAAGATTTGCTCTGTGCTCGCCTCCGGGTTCAGTGCACTCTGTGCCTGAAGTTCAAGAGGGTGAGCAGCGCGTTGTGTGGCGCTTTGCTCTACGACAATCAACACAAGCAACTGGAAATAATGGGTTACGGAGTGCAGTGGTGCCGTCGTGTTGTGTCTGAAAGGACATTTAAGGACAATTTATATATTTACGCCGTAGCCAACGGTCAAACCGCTGGTTGGCGGTGGGGTTTCTATGTTCCAGTGTTGAGTTTCTCCTTCTTC